TATTTACAACACTGTTCCAGAACAGTACAACCCAAATATTCAGATGTTTGCAGCGCATTTTACGGAGGACTGTGTCTTGATCCTGGGAAGGCTGTGCACAAAGGCTGTTTCTAAGTGGGGCAATTCCGTTTGTAATGGGTTTTATTGTTTTTGTCTTGTCGTGCAAGGACACGGCATCACAGTATGTTAAGTGGTGTAACATTTCCGTCACACGCTTGAGGAATTCGGCCAATCACAACACACTGGATAGCTGGCAAATCAGAGCACACCTCGCTTTTCAGACCGATGAGCTTTGTAAAAATCGTCGTGTTTCAGAAAGGTGGGGCATTAAGGAGCAACAATAATGTACAGTATGTGGAAAATAATGTTTTTTTAACCTTAAACCGCATAAACACATTGCATTACACCAAATAATGTTCTTTTTAGCAACGTCATATGACCCCTTTAATATACTTTTAAGATTTGAAGTACACTAAAAGTGCACATTCAATACAATGAAGAGCACTTATTTTTCACAAGGGTTTATACAAAACATTCCTGCACTTTGTACCTTCTCCACAGCAGCATAACGGCTGACCAGCTGCTTCCTCAGGTCAGCAATGTGGTGGTCGTATTTCTTCATGTCTTTTTTAAAGTTGTCTCCTCTGAAGGTCAGTAAAGGCTTCTCGACTTCACTCTGGAGCTGGAGACAAAATCCTCTGCATCAGTTACACAGCTGCATGGCAAACCTGGGCATGAACACTGAACAGCATCTGAAATGAACTTGTGAGGTGTGTGGGTTTTTTTGTATTTGGATCGAGTTTTTGCTTCAGTAATGATGATGTTCTTTAAAAGAAAGGCTTTTTTGTTTTGCTGTCTCCGTAAATCATACGTGATCTGAGGGAATAAGACTGCAGAATCACCTCCATCTTTCTGCAATTAATCACCCACACTGGCGCTAAATGGAGCACGCTAGTGTGAACACGGGAAAGCACAGCGGTGGAAATAGACAAATCGCAGCAGACTGAAGAAAGCTGTGTAGCTCATTACATACAGGTGGCTAATAACATCTCTGAGGGGAAGCTATTCAGTACAGCACAGAAATGAAATAAAGGCCAGATACTTCATCTTCCCTGGCAATGCGTGAGCTTGAACTGCCAATTTCTCAGCTGGATCTTATATTACCTCCATTGAGAAATGTCACAACAGAGAACTGAGAATTGCCCACCTTTGAGGAGAACTTGAGATGGACCTCGGCTTCATCAGCTAGACTCTTCTTCAGTTGGGCCCAAGCATCTCCAAGAGTCCTAAATCAAACCAGAGCCCAGGAAAGATGGTTAAAGCTACTGTTTTACATTTCATTTAACATTATTACACAGTCTACTTTTTAAAAGTGTCATGAAAGTGTCTCTCTTTAAGTTCACTAACGTGGCCTTTTATTTAATTAATAACGTATTATCTACAAGTACATATTTTTAAATATATAGGCTACTTTTAAGATTTGCAGTATACAACACAAGTGCATATTCAGTACAATTAAGCATGTGTAAGGCCTTTTTAATAATGTGTTCATCTATTAAACCACCAGTCAACATTTTAGAACATTAACATCTTCTCAACATGATCTGTATATAGCTCAATGCTCAAAAATATTTTAATTCCATTTTTTTCCCACATCGATGAGTTAAAAATAGTGAAGGAAATGCAGCTAACAAGTGTCCAGTATACAATATTACTTAAAAATAATTTTTGTAACATACCCTTCCTCTTGCGCTGCCATTGGGAACATGGAGAGTTTGGAAAGGTTCTTGGCATATTCCTCTTCGATTTTTATCCTGAAACATCAAGCATTCATCAAGAAAAGAAAGAGATTAAAAAGATTTAATGTGACAATCTCATATAGTAGCCTACTACTGGCAGAACTCCATGTGTACCATGCCAATATTACAGTTGTATTATGGTAATACCCTGTGTCTTTGAATATAGCTATCCTTCATCACTCTGTTATATAAGTATCATGGTATTAGCATCTGATACTATCAATGTACATTTTGTAGTGGCTATCTGTTCTTGTGATTGCTGTGATCCATTCCTATCCTTTCATATGGAAGTCGTAACATTGGTTTGATCAAACCTTTGAGTTTGGTTTGATAATGACATCGAGGCAATGTGAGAATCCTTCACAAATGCTTGCCTTAATATGCGAAAAAAGTAAAATAACTAAACTTCCTTAAAACAAGATAACTTTACATAAGCAGCAAAACTGCATAACACATTAAGGGCCAGATTTATTAAACAATGCGAATTAGCATTAGAGCGCAATTCCATAAAAGCGCAGATGAGAGGGGAAATTTCTGCGTGTGATTTACTGACAATGCGCACATTAAAAAACACAGACAAAGCCAGATCATTTCCATAATGACCAGTGCAATTTACCAAGAGCAGTGCATATTACCGCCTGCTTTAAGACGTTCTTTTTTGGGGCATTAAATAATGGCGCAAATATCAGTAATTTGACGAGCGCAAACATTACTAAATCTTGTTGCGTGATTCATGTTAATACTCTCTTCCCATAAGTTTTGCGTCTGAAAGGGAAACGCCTATAAAGGCATATTCAATAAGGTCAGGCGCAAAAATAACTGTGTCCACGCCTTTTCAGCACTAATTCTTCACTGCGCATCTTTAGTAAATCCTGACAGTACTATTTTAACGCCAAATGACAGTTTGCACTGGTGCAAGCTGTTAGTAAATCTGGCCCTAAGGCTTGTTTTTAGAACATTTGAAATGATGTTTTCCTAAACCATTGACAAAAAAAATGTGCTTTTCTTGTTGAACCACAACTCTTGACGTAAGAAAAAGTACACTAATAACATGTTAATAACATAAGTTGTAATTGCAATGTCAGGGGCTTTCAAATGTCAGTCCATGCAAGATGACAATGTACCATTTGTACAAAAAATAATTCTGCAAGATTTTGTAATCAATTTATGAAGGTTCTATAAACCAGAATCTTTATGTATTCTATCATAGTTGTGGAATTCTATGGTATTTTGTACATGCAGCTTGGATAGTTTTATTGTAAATTAAAAAAACAGTCCATTCATTTAAACAAATTTACCATTAATACAGATGCTGCATCGATTGCATTTAACATGTTTTCCCAATGACACACCCCAAGCTTGGGAAATTACCCACTGGTAATTACGAGTTTTCCACTCATAATTATAACTTTGTGGAGACGTTCATTTGCGTTCAACTTGTAAATACGATCTTTCTGACATGACTTGAATGCACCAATAAAGCACATCAAACATAAGCTGAAATGTGCATGTGTGACATGTGAGAACATTGATTCTTATGCATCACACAAGCAGATTTGAGCTTACGTTTACCATATTTGATGTGCTCTGTGTATGTGCACTGATACATTTTTATGTGAATAAAAGCCTAAATTAAATCTGTCCATCATATAAAGTGATTGTATCTCTCCAGGAGACTTGGATTACACCGCTTGATTCCTATGGAATATTTTTACGATTTTATAAACTTTCTGGAGCTTGAAAATGTTGGGTGAAAAATTCATTTAGGAGCCTAAACTGTAAATAATAATAATAATATTCTTAATCGGTTTTCTTGACGTTGTTAATGTAGGAAGAGAAGATATGTTCATATCATCTTTCACTTTTTTTTTTTTTTATCTTTGTGACTTTTAAGAATGTTTAGATATTTTAACTGGAAAACCATACTTTTTTTTTTGATTGTTTTCAGTGTGCAAAATAAAACATAACACTCAAAAAGGCCTTAGGGAGTGAGGTGTTATGTAAGAATGATGTCAGTTTGAGAGAGAGGCTTGCCCACCTTTCTCTGATGAACTCTGCCATCTCTTTCTGCATCTGCTTCCCCTTCAGCTGTTTCTGCAGCAGCACCTCAAACCCTGACACTGTGGCCCCCTGAGGGTCCCTCTTATCGGCCTGCAGAGGACAGAGCAACATTACACACACGCAGCGTCATGTATGCTACCACTTCATCAGCACTGGGCTGTCAACAACACGTGAGCACGATCAGATGTGTGTGAGAGCGGCCACATGTGTGTGTGAGTCACAGCGTGGGTTTGCATGAATCAGAGCGTGTGGGAGGGGGTGTACACCCTTGCGGGTGTAACTTTGAGTGTGCGTTTCAGTGAAGGGTGTGTATAGGTTGTTGAGGGTATGACTAATGTAACGTGAGGGCTCTTGATGCAGTCTGTGTGCGAAGTAAGTTCATGAAATATGCTTTTCTTTAATTGTGTGTGTGTGTGTGTGGAGGTGTAAGAGTCTGCTGTTGTGACGGCCGCTGACGTGCCATCCCACACATGACAGAAGTGTCATAACCTCTTCACACGCTCGGCTTGAGAAACAGGCAGGAAGAATCTTTCCGACAAAATACTCCTGTTATCATTTGCCTGTGTATATGCATATGTCTACATGTAATTTCAATCTCTGTCCAGGGTTATTAGAAATCCCAAAACTGAAAATTTGCTGAAAATGTTCTCACCCTCAGGCCATCAAAGATGTAGATGAGTTTGTTTCTTCATCAGAACAGATTTGGAGAAATGTATCATTACAAAGCTTCCTCATCAATGGATCCTCTGCAGTGAATGGGTGCCGTCAGAATGAGAGTCCAAACAATTTATCAACACATCACAATAATCCACAAGCAATCCACACAACAGTCCATCAATGAAGTGAAAAGCTGCATGTTTGTAAGAAACAAATCCTTGTTTGGACTCTCATTCTGACGGCACCCATTCACTGCAGAGGATGCATTGATGAGCAAGTGATGTAATGCTATAATCTGCTAGCAAATGCACAGTGACTGCTTCAGATGAAATGTAAATGTCCTTCTGGATCTCATGTTCACTTTCTTTGTCTCATCTGTTTGTGCATGGGGCTCGAATTACATTTTTCTTAAACCTGTCAGTGGTGATGATTTGAGGAAAAATACCAGTCATAAATCTTAAATAGTCGTAGTGTTGCTGAGCGGTTGCTAGGTTGTTCCGGTGGTTGTTTATTAGCCCAGGTCAAGTGTCTATGATATTCTGGTCTCTAGATATGACTCAGGTTCCCACATCATTGTAAGTTTGAGAGATTGTTTTGTCCTGTTTTATCGCCCGGCACTTAAAAGTCTGATAACTTTGAAAAACACAAGCACATCTCTCTTCGACACCTCAAACTCATAAGTATAAATAATAATATAGTGATGCTAGTTTTGCTCATGTTAACAGCATCATGTTTGTCACAATGTAAAATAAAATAAAATAAAACTTCATTAATAAGCTACAAGAAATAAACAAACAATAAATAAAACAAAATTTAGCTGGGTTTATCCTTAAAATAAAATAAAAAACTGACTATATTACTCAAATATAGTCTAATATAATTAAATCTTGTAATAATATATATTATATGCAAAAAAAAAAGAAAAAAAAAAGACAAAATCTGATTAAGAAAATGATTCACAGCATTGCTGTGAAATGCCATCTGTCATAAAAATGTCAAAACAAAAACAAAGAAATATGTCCGCATACTGCCATAAAGTGCCAAAAAAAAACATTTAGGTCTTCCTCGGGTTGAAACGTTGCAATAAAATTTTTTGGAAGCTTTAATTTCAATGTGTGGACAAATTCCTTCTTCATAAAATGATTTCAGTTTCTTTAGTAGACGTCTGTGTCACTTTACTTCACATCACTTGTGTCTGTTAGTCATCAGATGAGACTGTCGCTTTAACATTGCTATTTAAACCATGCATGATGCTGTTTCTAAGCCAATTACTCAGTTTAATTTACTTTTCTAAACCATATTATACTCACATTTAGCAAATTTGTGCTGACCCTGTGTGCTGTAACATAAGTTTGTTAAAGTAGTTCACAATGAGTTGTTTTCTGTCCTTCTAATGGTATTAGATGGGACCGGCTCAATAGTAGTCCTTATAGTATAGGATCAATACTCATCCACTGCGGTCCACCAGACATGATTGTCCTCTTTCTCTCTCTGTCTCTCACCCAGAAATAGTCGCAGTAGCTCCATTCACTGGGCTTGAGAAGCTGCTGCTCCGGCACAGACGTGGGCACAGGGAAGGTGACGCAGTTGATCTGCGGTGAGATAAAACAGAGGAAGGTCAGCTCACAGCGTGTGTGCGCGTCTGCTGTTTTGTCAGGTTGGTTTTATTTTCAGAGGAGTGAGACAGGGATAAGTCTCAGAGGGGAGACAAATGAAAGGTCACGATGTAAAAGAGAAAGACTGGTCATATAGACCGTGACCTATAACAGCCTGAGGATGGACAGAGTGATGGAGGAAGAGAGAGAGAGAGAGAGAGAGAGAGAGAGAGAGAGAGAGAGAGAGAGAGAGGGAGTGTGAGAGAGGGAGTATGTTTAGAATGACAAACTATTTGTAAAAGCCTATGCTTGTTTTCTCTATACTGGTACATTTACCAGAGCACACCGCAAGAAATACTGAATATATACATGTGAAGAATGAAAGCTCATTATTGCATACAACCACTTTACACGTTTCTTTTTAAAATTGTAAGCACATACGAGTACGCTTTAGCATACTTTTAATTTTAATTGTACTTTTTTATTTCTTGACTATTTCTTTACACATTTTTCCTGTGTGCTATGGAGGTTGGGCATCCACCAGCAAGCTTTTATAGTAAATTAAAATAAACTTTAATGCCATTTCTATTGAAACTTGTATGCCAAGTATTTAAATATATTTTTATGTGATGAAGTTGCATTACATGTGCTTTAGTATATAAGTCAACACATCAAAATAAGTGTACTTCTTTAAAGCACAACAAACGATTATGAAAACCTACTGATTTAAAATGTACTTTAAAGTAAAACTTTAAATTTGACATTATTACAAACTGCGCTTTTTACAAGAATGAAATGAAAGTATCTCTTTAAGTACACTTCACTGGCCTTTTATTTCATTAATATTATATTATCGGCAAGTACAATTTTTAAAATACTAAAAGATTTGAAGTACTCTACATTCAGTACAATTAAGCACACTTCGTTTTCACAAGGGTAAGGCTACAATGGGATAAAGGTCCCACTCTGACCATGAAATGTATAATGATCAGAACAAAATTAAATTTTTTAATAAATATTGATGGAGCAACATCACTTGCAATAATCAAAGCCGGTTCTGATTTAAAATCATTTTCAAATAAAGCAGTCAAGCAAGAGCCCACATACAATCCTTTCACTTTTTTGATGTTTGCTGAAAATCTATCAACACTTCTGCAGTGCATAGCATTCGTATTTTGAGAGAAAATACAAAGGAAAGGGCCTTTTACCCGAGGGCTGTACCCTACTGCACAGTATGCAGGTATGTTGTAAACTGTTAGACTATTCCATTCAAAACTCCGAACCACGAAACAAGCTTAAGTTGTTAGGAGTGAGATTCCCAAACAATCACATCCAGCACTGCGTACCTCAGACTGCAGTTAGTGTGTGTGCGCTCATAAAGTGTTTGAGTATACACTCTAGGGTCCATGGCGTCTCCAATTAGCCTGTAAGCACTGCAATTATGTAATGCTCACCATCTGTACCGCCTCCCTGCCACTGCCAAACAGGATGTGCTCCCTGCCATAGCCCTTCAGTGCCTCAAACACACACTCACACTTATTCATGCTCAAATACACCACTGTAAACAAATTGGTTTTAACCTCTTGTAAGCAAGCTTTTTTTTTGTTAAGTTATGTTAACGATTAAGATATTTCATTAACTTTGACATCTATTTAAAATGCTTACGTCATTAATTTTCTTAAACTCAGTTGAGGCAGAACAATTTTAGAGTATTTTTTATATTTCTTCATTTAATTAAGTCACTGCTGAACTTTCAAGAAATCCCCCTCAGGCATAAAGTATCAGGGTTGTAACCAGAAACTGGAAGACCACCATAGGGATGCATGTTTTATGCATGTATTAATATGTGGTTGCAGTCTTATTTATTGTTCACACTATAATTACTGTTACAGTGAGTATGGAAAATATTTCAATACATAAAGTAAATTATGCTAGTATCACCCAGTTTGTTTGTGCCTATAAATGGAAATTGAAATGAAATTGTAAAATGTATTTATGTATATAATTTATTACATCATTACTACAAACATGCTTTGTGCGATGATCATTCAACTTGTTGTATTCAAAATATGCTAGAGCTGAGCATAACAGGGTTAAAGGTCATTGCAAAAATGGCTAAGAGCAGCCAACGTTTGCAAATATCACTGCATAAATATGCAGATTATTATATATTTTTTAATTATTTACAATATTGTTGTGCAAACAAAAAATTATTATAAACAATTAAAATGATTTTTAATACAAAAACATTTTGTTTCATTTAAAATAATTAATATATCTAGATTTATATAAAGAAAATGTATGGCAATTGTTTAGCAAGTCTTTAGCAATTAATTTGATCAAGTGACAGTAAACATTTTTACATAAAAAAAATCAATTTCA